TGCAAAATGAGGCTCTGTTCGGCAATTACTTGAGGACACAGCAGAACATTTCGAAATACACAAGCCAGCAATACTGCAGGAAATCCTAAACACTGAACATGCACAAAGCGCGTACATTTTAATGAAACACACAACACAACAGCTCAAACACTGTTAACTACAGTGTCATAGGTTGTGCCCACCATGCATGGCCTACGGAGATAAGCTTTGGTCTCTTCAAACACAGAACATACAGTTTCCATAGGAACAATCTGGGGCCTAATGGATACATCATGGCTTCATGATGGCTGTCTTTAACACTACCATGAATCCTGATCTGTTAGACATATTTTCTCTCTTCTGCAAACTACTCTAGTTAAGTACCGAGCAAAACACATACCTTTAGGAACGTACTGTTACAATGACGCCTTTAAAAGCACAACATCAGATGTCTCTACTGTAACCTGAACATAGGCAGAGATATATGACAGTATATACTGTGAGACTATTAGAATTTGTCAACAAGCAAATGTTATAGAATATGTTTCTACAGAGGTAGCGAGCAACTACCCTTTAAATGTCTTTGCAGGCAAGAGTGGGACTGGTTTATAGCTAAATTGGATTTACAGGATGTTTAAAAGGATCTTTTGATCAGTGCGATAAGGCATCATGATTTATCGGGTATTTCATTTAAAGACAAGCCAGAAAAAGATAGTACTATCTATATGTGTTTTCTTTCAATGGTTTCTGCAGTTTCTCAAGTAAATTTTAAAGATAATGTACTTAATCATATATACTTCAACATAAAATGTAATATACTGATTCTATCATTGTTCTGTATTGTTCATCCATTGTCTTAATGTGGAAAAAGTTACAGGTTGCAGCTTAAATATTTCAATTGATGCATCCATGTTTTATTCTATATTATATCCTACAATGCACCCAGCACCTTTGAAGCCGAGTAAGTTAATGGCTCAAATGATTGAGACAAAACTGATTTTCCAGCTGATTAAGCACAACAATGACACATTCTGTTGCTGCTCGTTTCAGCAGGTGAGCCATTAAAAACAAAAGGAATATTCAAAGCGGAGCAGCACAATTTGTAAATGAATTGGATTCTAGTTGCAGGGATTTTAAGATGAATGCAGGGATCTTAAACATTTAATGAAAAGGGTCTGTTTACAAAACAGACAACTCAAACAGGTAGATAAAAGAGAGGGAAAACCTTCAGTGGGGGGGCTGTAAGCCACCTATTTAGACCAGCAGCCAAGATAAACATATGATCCCTACTTAAATACAAAACACAAGTCAATGTTCACAAAATAAGTAAGAGGCATTAGACGAAGAACACAACAATTACAAGTCTATGCACACACTACCGGCTCAGTTATGATTTCTGCAGCCTACATTTTTATATCTGATTTAATTTGTACTATGCATCATGGCACATGACACTATATCTCCTGCATCACCACTTCAGCGTGCCTGCAAGCAACACACAATATGCTTCTTAACCAGCTGACCACCAGCAGCACTTCAATATAGAAGAAAGACAACCATGTCATGCTCTATTTCACATGGGCCATGTAACTGAGACAGTCCCTCCATTCACCGCTGCCTATCTAAACATGACACCTAACAATGGCAACAATTCTGCCATCTGCCAAATTGGTCCGCAAGGTAGGGATGAGTGGAAAAAAACATGTCCAAACACTGACACAGCCCCCACCCTCCCCCCTTCTTTAAACTATCCTAAATTTTAACTAAGAATTATCTTCAAAGTTGCATCAACTCCTCCTCTGTTATCTTTGGTCCGGGCACGTCAGTGGTAATTACTGCAGCATACAGATTGCAAAATAAGCGTTTTAAACAAACACAGCAACAAACTCAATCAACCATTAATTTTTGTGAAAGGCAAAACCTGTTTTTATTTATTTACTACATGTCTCACAAAAAGCAAACCTTCCTTCCTTGAAAAACAAACATACTTTTACTTAATGTTGTTGATTGTTGTTACTTAAACTGTGTGTGTTATCTTTTTTTTAAAACTTATTTTCAAGGCAACCAACACAATCTGTTGACAGAGAGCTGCTGAAGGTGCCACACCCCCCTCAGGTAACATGACAGTCAGCTGGTGACCTCATGACAGGTTATCAGTAAACACTGAACTCCTGCCATTTGTGCTCCTATTGCCCCATAACTACATAAATATCACACACACGCCTGCTTGAAAATACAACACAGATCCTCCAAATTTTTTTTAAATAGAATAAAAAAAATCCTGCACAACAACATAACATAAAAAAACAACAGAAACAGGAAACAACTGCAAAATAGTAAGAATGAAGAGACTGCCTCATTCCTAACGTGGTCTCAGTGTGTACTACAGACTCCACTCCAAAATGGACATTATGTACAAAAGAAAATAAGGAGGAGCCACATGGCAGGTGGCCTCCCGCTCTGGTTTCATTTCAGTATTTTAACTATTGATACCAGCTAGAAAACTACAAAATGTGCACAGTAGTATGGCAGCAAAGCCGTGTGTGGTCACTGGTATTTTCTCCTCACAAATCAACACATGAATATGCACAACTCAACTAGTTGCAAAGTAGGAGTCAGAACACAATGGGGACGCAGTAACCACACACGTGCTCATGCATCTGGGCTGCATTTGAAAAGCTGTTGTTGGGGAGGGTGAGTGTGTGTGTGTGTGTGTGTGTGTGTGTGTGTGTGTGATCATACTCCTCCATACACAACAAAAACACACACCCAAGAAAAAAAAAGATAATGATTACCTGAAGTGGGACTAATGGGTCTGCATCCTCTGGTTGCCAGACTTCGACCACGCTGGTGGACATCTGACTCAGAGCTTTGTGGGAGCAAACAAACAAATAAAATAAATAAATTACATTAACAGTGAGATGTTAGGGTTGGAAATAGGGCAAAAAAAAAAAAAAAATCGATTTGAAATGCACCCGATTGAAGCAGTCGACATTATTTAACCTGCAAAAAACAACCAACCTACCATTACTATCACTGGTTATTACAAATGAATAGACTGAAAGCGGTGTGACAATCACACAGACAAGTGAGGAAATGAGTTCGCCTCGGCAAGCTGACAAAGGCTGTGTGCTAGCTGCCTGGTTAGCAGGACGGTTAGCTCGGTGGCTAACGAACTTGGAAAACATCCTCTCCTGCTAACTGCAGCACTCACTGGCTTGTAGAGCCGCGTAGGGTTACTTTACGACATTTTCTAGCTTTATCACAGTGACAACAGAAGCCGTTAAGTCTCCCCTTCTTCCTCCTTTTTTTTTTTTTTTTTAAGTCCCGATAATGTGTTACTTCCTTGCCTGAACAAGTTATCGTTACCCGACAGCACAGGGGGGAACTGGGGGAGCTAGCATGAACTAGCAAGGCTGACAAAACACTAGCTACAACCGTTTTCCGTTGGTTAAAAATAAATAAAAATAAAAAGCTTAAGCAGCTACTTGTAGATTTATTCATTCTTTTTTTTTTGTATGTGTGTGTGTGTGTGCCCATTTTTTTTATTTTACATTACAATCTGAACAGTTTAGCTTACAACCCTATTTTTCCTGTCTGCTGTCAAGTCTTAAGCTAACTTAACGGTCGCGTTATATTAACACCGGGGAAAAAAAAAAAAATTAAAGGTGCGGACAAACCTTGCAGCTGTGCCCCTCCGTGCTGTACGCAGGGTAAAAGTAATTGTAGTATTCCGAGTAGTATATTGATCCACGTTTTCCTGTGACAGTGGCTGCCTTGTTGGAAGTCCTGTAGCCCCGCCATGCTGCCCTCTCAGCTAGCAGCCTACCGTGTGTTGCGCTGCGTTGGTCTTTCTCTCCCTCACCGAGCAGCACCAGCGGCGGCGGCGGCACCAGCAGCAGCAGCTCCCTCCCTCTCCAGTCGGTCCCTCCCCCGCCTCCTCATGCACACTGTGCGGTGCGGACAGACACCAGGGTCACTTACAACAAGGGGTGTTGTTTTGTTGATGTTGCTGAAGGTGAAACGAACAACACAAATAATAACAACATGCTTTGTTTAATGTATCCTACAGTGGTGGGATGTATTGTGCTTAAAGGGCAAATAGATAGAGGTATTTATACTTTTATCATTTAGTAAAACCCTTGTTTAAGTGACAGCATCATTTATGGATATTTCATATTATATTCAAATAGTGAACACAATACCTGCAATAGCTTTGTGTAAAACAAGTGACCATTTTATTATTTCCTGTATAGGGAGATTTTTTTAATACAATTTTCTGTCTGTATTATGTATTTTCTTTATTATCATCATCAATCAGAATAGGCTTAATAGGCTTCAGGTTTTTTGACATATTCAGTGTTTCCTTGTCCCTGACACTTGGCAATTGTTCTATTAGACAATTTCCTTTTCTTCACAGAAGTAAACTAAATGCTGAGATACAAGAATCTAAAATCAAGAAGGCCTTGTGACTCCCTTATGAAGCTTTGGTGACTCCTAATGGGGGTCCGGACCCCCAGGCTGGGAACCACTGACTTAGGAGTATTTCCTTAACTAACTTTCCTTACTTAACTACATTTATTTGACAGCTATAGTTACTGGGTTTTACATACAAACATATGACCATATGATTTATAAACTATGATGCACTGTTACAACAATGTATAAAATAGTTAAAATTATCTCCACCTCAAACAACTACAACATTGAAATGCTACTTAAACATGAATACACAAGTATATTAGATAGTATAACACTCCAAGGGGCATCATGCATACTTTTATTATACTAAAAGTACATTTTAATAAGAATACGTCCATGCTTTTACTTGAGTGAACTACAGAACCTTTATTTACATATTTTACATCGTTTGATTTATATTTTACTTTTAACTTGCTGCAAAATTAGTAACAATCAGTATTTACCCCACTTTACATGTAATAAAAGCTAAGTAAGCATCAGTTTAGTGTCACGTAATCTTGATGTTCTTCTTTTGGACAATACTCAAAACTAAGTTAAAGTCATTAGTCAGCATATTTATTGCGTTGTTAATCCCTTCTGAGGACAAGACACATTTAACCAAAGAGGCTGCAAGTAAAAGCAGTCTTCAAGTTAGAGACAGTGAGATTAAACTCTGCACAACCTCCACTGAGAACTTTGACATTCAGCATGTCAAACTCATGAATCATAGTTAGTACAGGTTGGGCAGGTACACACATGAACATTGACTCAGGTTACCCTTCTGTGGGTGTGTCAGCTCCACCAAACAAAACTGCAGCTAGGTATTTAGAATATTTTTCTTTTGCTGGATCAGTGTTGCTACAGTCACTAGAGCACTTCTAATAAGGAGCTTAGGGTTGCCACAATAAATATACAACATGTAAGAGCGCTGAAATTTGTGTCTGCACATTGTCTTGTGGCAGGTTATCCTCATCAGTAAAAAATAACTGAACTTATGTGTTAGGAAGCAGTACAAACAGGAAACCGCCAACACTTTTTAATCAGTAAGCCACTGTATATTTACAAGGACACATATCTTTCACATAAAATCTGATTCTTACTACTAACATGTTCCTCTTCAATGGTTTAGAGATCAAAATAAAATTACATTAGGAACATTATAAATAGAAAGCAAGTCGTGAATCAACAAAGAACTAACAATATGTTTGCATATCATTCATCGAATGGAAAGAAAACCTAACTGATGAGTAAGACGAGCATGGGGCACATTTGAAATTTAAATCAACAAACCCAGACACAATAGCAAATAGGTTCATTGAGTAAAAGCAGAGTACACAACTACCTGTTTTGCATCTGGTTTGACAGAGAAAAAGGGAGGAAAATAAGCAGGGTAATAGTCCTTCTAGGGTAATAGTCCTTCTAGACATGTCATGACAACAGTGTTCCTTTTTTTGTTCAAACAGAAACCGAGTGTGAAGATCTGCAAAAAAAGTTGAGCTTTTGTGATAGATTTTTGCAGTGTTCCAGTGGCAATTTCTAAAGAAATGAAAACACAAGAGATAGGAGACCCTGTGTAAATACATTTGTACACTGCACCCTGAGTTTAGGAAGGAATACAACTGCAGAAAACGGCTTGAAAAACTCGGACATTTTATTTGTAACATGAGAAAAGAGGTTCTGCAAAACTTAAATCTACTTTAAATATTTACAGCACTTGTATACATAACATATCCTAAACATATCCTCTGTAACTGAATTTTCCCATTAGACCCAGTCCACTTTTTTTGAATCTAGAGGACTCAATGTTGATCACAAGGAGCAACATCCCCCCCCCCCCCCCCCAGCAAAAGTGAAACAGGGAAAACATAAGAAAAAAGTGCAAAGGCATTTGATTCCAAACCATCTGTTTAAACCATACAAATTAAATCATTGGCTGCACAGATGTGTTAAGTGTTGATTCCTTTCCATCATCAACTTGGAGTTCTCAGTTTTCATGCAAACAGGTGTCCCAAAAGTCAGGCTGCAAGGTTGTGTTTATCACAGAACCCCCTAACCCCTCACATCCACGACTGGTTGGTGCTTCTCTTCTCCGGTTGCACCGAAGCAACACACCCGCTGATAAAGTCCATCTGGCTGATATCGGCCCTTATTCAAAGCCCACCACAGGTCATGAATCCTGGTCTAACACAAAGGACATAAATTAGCACTGCTGAGACCTGGTTTACTGCCCTCAAACTGAAGCTTAAACTCTTATTTTTCCTCTTACTGCGACAATGAACTAGAGAAGAAAAGCTGGCCGTCAGTCCATGTAGTCAAAGTCCTCAGGGATCCCAAAGGCTTTATTAATGCGGCTGTCATCAAAGGAGAACTTCTTCTTTGTCCATGACTTGATGGAGAAAATATTGTCTGAAAACACAAATCAAAGTCTTTGTTTGAAGTACACATATGCACTTGCCCCCCAGGTGTTATATAGTATTACAGAAAGTACAATCAGTCTGGGATTATGAGAATATTCTTGGACTCCAAGAACAAATCATCTGTGTCATTGCTCTGAAGCACCTGCTCAGTGTGGTTGTGGCAGATTTGATTATTACTTCCTTTGTGATGCAGATTGCATAAGTGCCCCAGTATTTTGCATTCAAATCTTGCTGAGTGAGTCAGGTAGAGCTGTGTGTGATTGAATTTAAGCAACAACTAATGTTCCCAAATTAAGGCTTAACTGTATTTAATTCTGTTAACTTATTTATTCATTCTTTCATTAATTTCTTATTTGCATTCTTGGCACCTTCCCTCAACTATCAAGAGGTGCAATATTTGCAAAACTGACTGTGCCAATTTATGAGCTTCATATGCTTGATGATGAATGCATATAATCACCCAAATCAACTTCTATTTAACTCTTAGTTAAAGGCGCCGTGTTGACTTCTTAACAAAGCAGATAATTCAATGAATGAGATGAATGGGATGATGTAATTTTACCTTGATAGTCTAATGTAAGAATACCTTCTTGTATACAAAAGTGATACAAGTGCAGAATTTCAAAACATATTAGTACACAAGTATATAACCAAATGCACAATAACCTGAGTGCACTTCATTCACATAAATGTTTATGAGCCTACAAGTGGCCTAGATAATATTTAACATGGCTGTAATTAATAAATAATTGATGATCTCTCTATGGCAGTTTGTTTTACAATCTAAAATTAGTTTGGATTATATCAAGGAAAGTGCCTTTTAGAAGTGATTCACGATACAAGCTGAAAACTGTGAATGTGTCACCCATTTAAAGAGTAAACCAAATAGATTCATGTAGATTAACACCTGTTTTATCAAGCGCTTAAGTCAATAAACTCTGAGTCACGCTATTAGTCCCGCAGGATAATTGTACTCTAGTTTTGATATGACGATATGCAGTTGAAGTGCTTGAGATTACCTGTGTCAGGGCTTGTTAAGTAAGTCTTTATTATGTGTAGGTGTGTCTCAGTGTGACGAGGTTAAAGCCACACAACATTAGTTTGTTTGTTTTTTTAAACTAAGGTCTGCTGTCACAGAAGAAGTTGCAGCAATACAATTTAAAACACTAAGAAGGGTTGTTAAATGTACTGACGGCCAATTGAGAGAACTGATGAAATAGTGCTGTTAGTTGCAACAGGACAGCTGGAAACACAACATCTTGTAATAAAACATTGCATTGTACTTGTTCTAAAAGCAACAACTGTATATAGTACTGGGGGGAAACAATTTTATGCTCATTACTACCTAATACGTATTCCTTTAGTAGTGTCCAGCCCAGATGTGGGAAGTGCAAGTCATGGAAGAGGCAGATATGACTCACCATTTCTTAAAATGAATTTAATTGTAAGGAAGTAAAGCTAAAACTTGCCAACTAAAACCAACAATGTGACTTTGTTGACCTGAAGAGTCAAAACACCACAGGCCTGGTTGGTTACCATTAACCCCAAAGGTCAGCTGTCTCCAAGGTTACCGCTCAGGTCAACGAATGCACTCAGAGTCGAACGTGTTGACTCCTGGGAGGTGACATGCTCAACACAAAGTGGCCTTACAGCTTGCACTTTGTGAGTTCGAGAGCTTTAAAGAGTAAATCAATGGAATAAGCCCGTCCACAGAAATTCTTGAGTTATTTTTGTAAAATAGTCAAAGGCAACTTTCTCTGAGTATTGTATTGTTTGAAATCAGACTTAGACTTATCAGAGCTACAAGGATTATTAATAAATTAGTCGATTTGGTTTGACATGTGAGGATTTGATGGTTTTCTTTGTCATAAATGTCATATATTTTGGACTGAAAACTGTAAAAAAAAAAATATATATATGTCCATCACAATTTCCTAAAGCTCAAGGAATCTAGCAAATTCTCACATTTGAGAACCATCAAATGTTCAGCATTTTTGCTTAAGAAATTACTGGAGTCGAGCTCAAACAATTAATTGATTAATCATTTAGGTGATCAACAGAAAACTGCAACTATGGTCCAGACCTATTACATGTGCATTTATTAAACAGATAAAATTACTCACCTGTCCACCTGGAAACGGCCTCTTTTGCAATAACATTTGACTTTCCTGCAAAACAAAATGTATCATATATCAATAGCTCAGATCTGTAATTAAAGACACCTACTGAGAATGCAATGGAGCCATTTCAAAAGACTACCAGTAAAATGATGAGTTACACTTAATCAAACTGCGTATAAAGACTGAAAAGAGTCATGTTACAGATGAGATTAACAGATCATAATTTTCTATTTGTGTTGCAAATCCACTCACATACTGTGTGTATGTAAAATAGGCTAAACAAATACACGCTTAACGTGAAAGAAGGACATGTTTTCTGCAACAAATCTACTGTAAGTAGTGATTTAAAAGAACATAAAACTGTCACCAAACACTGAACGCAAGACAGAAAATATACTGGGAACTTAAATACAGCAAACACTGCCCTTTATGGAGGGAAGTATGGTCAGCAATGTGATGGTTGGATAGCAACAGGCATACTGTATGAACAAGTGGTGATATACTATTAAATTAAAGTTGAAAGTTCAGCCTACACCTCCCCTGCAGCTGTAGCTGGAAGGGCCATCTAGAAACCTGAAATAAAGCTGGAAAATGTGCTCGAACTGCATAGCTCTTATGTTTTAAGTGACATATTCGGTGATCCATAAAACTGAAAACAACAGCGGGTAACATCATTAAGTTGCTAGGCACCTGGAATAATCGCTTTACCTTTTACCAGAAGTTAAAAATAACCTTTTGTTGAATCCATAGCAACTATTAACAGACACTTATTTGGCTGCTGTGCTTAGGCTGCAGCATCCTATAGTCAGCCAATATAAGCTATTTTGACAGGTTTGGCAGATTTCTCTATGATTTATCCTTCATGAAAGATCAGGAGAGCGATCTAGGCATACGTTGCTTGAGCCTAAAGCTGCAATTTTCTCACACACACACACATACCATTTCAGCATTTATTGATAAAGACACAGTGGAAACAAAGTGAATAACCACAAAAATAAATAGCTGCTGCAAGTGGGAGGGACTGAATTGAATAACTTCTGACTCATGAACCTAGAGACGATGTGATTTTACATTATGTATAAGAATTTGGATGCCAACATCTCAACTACCACGAAACAAACAGAGCCAGCAGCCGTCATGGCCCACTGAGCTTTGATTTTTGGTTTGATTACAGGAACTGTAAATAAGTCTGAGTAGGCCTCTATATTAATGTTCTAATCTGCTATCCCTGGTCACCAGATGTTAAAAGGGCACCCTAACTTAAACAATAAATCATATAAAATTAATATATATACACTCACACAATACAGTAAATACCATGCACTAGATAATATACAGTACACATCCACCAATAAATGACGCCTTTGGTAAACATATCTAAATCATAAATCTGTGTACTTTAATGGTCAATGCAGCTGTAAATAAAACGTGGGAGTTCATGTGCAACTTTTGAACTCCTATAGTGCCATACCTGTCTTGCACTGTGCCCTTCCCATGTTTGGTGGTTTTTAACCCTGCCTAGCAGCATTTCGTATCTATGGGTGTGGAAACCATTGTCAAAGATTTTGACCTGACAAATCCAATCTTAATCAAAATGCTGTCTGTATTATTATGAATTGTTTTATTATTAATATTATAAATTCTTATTTTGTATCATTCAAAAATCCCGTTCATAAAATCCATTAATAGATAAATGTACGTGCAATAATTTTAGTGCTGCAGTGTCTTAACTACAGCTCAAATGTATGTTTTAAAACAATGCAAAAGAAAAATATAGGATATAGGGCCAAATAAAGCCCAATCCACTCATATTACTTATCTACACAGAATGTGTGGAATAATTTTTCCAGAGTATCCCATATGAGAAGAAGGGGCCGTGATGAAAGAACTATTATCAGGACTGAGACCACTGAGTCCTGCACCAGGTCGGGTAAAAAGAAACAAAATGCAGAGAAATCAGAAATGAAAATCACTATAAAGGCTTTTGAACATTTAAACCAGTTAAATATTGTCAAGCCTAATCCGCTGCCAGGATTTTATTTTATTATGAAAGCTGCAAGCTCTCACATCCTCTGAGGAAACGTACAGCTGCAGCAGGAGGACAGGTGCTGCGCCAGTTAACCTAAACTTTCTCAGACCTCCAAACTGCTGTAAAGTTCGTACACCAAAACATCATAGTTTAAACCTGTGTAAGGAGATGGATTTAACAAACTCACACAGGGCTTAATTGACCTTGGTGTCCAGCTTGTTGTGTGGACGAAGCAGTAGCAGCATAGTGCGTAACAACAGTTGGTCACTGAACAGTTAGTTATGATTTTAGTTCATGTTTCTACATGTTATTCTTAATTATTATTATGTAATTATGTAAATATGTAATTAATAATTGCGGCAGTAAAAATATGACTGTGTGAGTGTAGCACGGGTCACGGGTTCGCTTGTAGGTCTTATATTAACGGGTCGGGTCTGGATTTGATTTGAAGATAATTGTGGGCAACAGGTCGGTTCCGGCTCTGACCTCTATGCATGCGGCTTTGCAATACTAGACTCTGAACTGATGTTTTTTTCTGGAAATTTGGATTTTTATTAACTTGGGTGGGAGTTAAAATGAGATAATTAAACCCGTACACATGGGGGCTGTTACCAGACATAGCACATTTAAATATAATTAGTATAATATACTGTTTCAGTGTTGTACTTGTACTGTTAATTTCTCCACTGGTCTCAAAAGATAATTCTTCTAAAGATGCTCCCTGAACCCCATCTGCATGAATCCCATATGCAGTAACAGGTCTGAGCCCATTCTGCAGGTTCAGACCAACCCCCTCAACAGTAGACATAACATCATGTCACTCACTCTGTGCAGAGCTGCACGCAGCTCTCAAAGCACAATTCAACTTTTTCTAAAGGGAGATGGTTATCTGTAACAAAGCTCTGTGTGTGTGTGTGTGTGTGTGTGTGTGTGTGTGTGTGTGTGTGTGTGTGTGTGTGTGTGTGTGTGTGTGTGTGTGTGTGTGTATGGTGTACTTAAAAGAGAAGACAATAAGATCTGCAAGCAAACGGAAATTAAGTTTATCTTGAAAGTAAGAGAAAGCGTCGCCCTAACTCTTGGGTTTATCTATTGAATCTGAGAGCATTATGTATGTATGATCTTTATCACATCATGTAATGTTCACTGTCACATGCAAGAACACGTACGTAGTTGAAACGTTGCCACAGACTCAACTTTCAGTAGAGAAAGCCACCAACCAATGAGAGTTGGGGTATCTCCTTTTACCAGATCAACACAAACCACTGCCACAAGTCAGAGAGCAACTCCACAGAGTGAACACAAGAGTTCACACAGATGTCAGTTAATAGATATGAAGGCCCTGGATTCCACATATACCCCTCGGGAATAAAGATAAACATCTAATATCGCCGTTTCATTTTCAAACAAGATCATACAATACAACGCCTTAACCTAAATGCATTCTACCTAAATGTTTTATTAGGTTTGTCTGTATTTTAAGAGGGAGAGACCCTTTTTAAACTTTGTTCAGATTGCTGTAAAAAACCTTCCTGGGGTTTGGATTCAGACCCCAACAGCTGTTGCAATGATTAAGCTTGGCAATAAGTTAATCGCAGGCACCAGAGGCCAAGTTTCTGCAGAGGGTCTTACAATGTGACCATAAAGTTATCTCCCTGGGACCAAAATAAAAACATTATAAAGACATTTTGGATTTTAGCTTGTTTTGGTTCTAAGCTAGGAATACAAACGTTTTTCATCATACACATCTACCAAACAGTTTAGAGACTATTTAGCCTGTACATTATGTGGCATCAGCTGTAGTATAAAAAAAATTTATATCAAGCACTATTTTTTAAGTTTTGCTGTGAAAATTCACTTTCGATTTACACTTAAATCCTATTTAAGAGCATTTATTGCCCAAATTCTTTGAGAAATTTGACCTTGATTATACAGATGTGTTGTGCCAAATTCTCAATATACTGGAAATTCATCCTAAACAATAAATCCAGCTAAGTCTTCATAGACATTATGGCTTTTACTGAATGTAATTATTTTAACTGGAAGATTGCTCTATCATGTATCTTTACTGGTTACCTACCTGAGCCCCCAAACTGACTTTATTCAACTTATTTTGAATCAAAATCAAATCAAACATTTTAATTTGGATTACAAATAAATGCTTCAGCAATTATTTGCCTCCCTGTCCATGTGACTGTCAGTAGCCGAGACAATATTGTCACGTTGGGAATGGAAAAAAACAGCAGAACTGCGTGCAGACTAAATGCATGCTTGGTGTAACATTGGGAGGTGCAGGTAAACAGACCAGGTATTTTTATGACACCAGACATGTCACATGTGTGCATAAAGTAACACACCCCCTTTACCACAGGTCAGCTTAACACAAAGCAGTAGAGGATTTTCTGTAACACTGCTAATAGCTATGTGAACTGTATGGAGACATACAACAGCTAGTACATAAGTCAGTGGCCAGTGGCCTTGACTTTGTGCTTTTAAAAGCTTTTAAGTCCGAAACCCTTCAAGGTGAGTGGTCAGAGGTTACAAGTCTCATGTAGGCCGCAATTAAAACTGACATACATGTTTTGAGAACAGACCAGAACAATGACGCATCTGTTTCAACAGGGTTCACATTGTTCACACGTCCTGTCTTGTATCGACATTTAGTTTGTGGTTCAAGCTGACAGTTTAAAACTGAAATAAGAGTGTGTCAAGTGACTACTTGTGATGAGTTCTCACTTCCTTGCTCACACTTCGCTTTAACCGTGAGAAACTGTGACTCTGCTGCTAAACACACAAAATGCATGTTTGTTCTTAGCAGTACAACTATAGATGAGGACTCCTGTGACAAGTATCTGCATCTCAACATAATGTCCAAGCTGTGTGACAGACAAACTAACCGTATTCTACTGTGTTAGGAAGGACTGTGGTTATATACACAAACACTATTCACTAGGCAATCCTTCAATATGGTATGGTGAGCAATTGCATTCATACAGCTATACTACATATGAATGTGGTCATGGTGTCCCTCATCACCACTGAATTTGGATAAAGCATCTCGACATCTCTTTAATGCATTTGGATGCATTCACACTTTATTTCGAGCTGTCTGAACATCCAAGATAGCGTTCAGTGAAATGTGTGAAGAGGGAATTTGAGGGTGTAAAGTGTGTTTCTCCATGTTGCTGCTCATGTTTTTTTTAGCACTACAAGTAGGTGATTTTGATTGGTGGCCAAGTTCATTGCAGCACTGTTTATTGGAGTTTTTTCCCTGGTATCATTTATATTGATGTACCTTTCTCTGTGCTAAATGGTTCATGTCTGTCAACTGGTTTAAGTTCTCCTTAATATTTGACAATTTCTGGGAGACAACACTTAAATAATCCATCTGGTAATGCACAATTTTGTGTTCATTATCTGGTGTGAAACCACTTATTCATGGTAGTTTGAGTTATATAAAAGCCTCTCAATTGGTTTGTTTCTTGGACGTTATCCAACTCTGTCCTCTGTCTCTCTCTTCTTAATGAGAGATCCTCACTGGATGCGACCAGCACCATCTGCCTTGAAGAGCCACCTGATGTTAAAATCCAGTGCTCCATCTTATTCTCTTTAGTGAGTCTTATTATTTTTTAGAACAAAAATCAATCAAAGCTTTCAGCACAAGAAAATTGGCAAATTAACTGCTTGTACTTGTACTCAAAAGAGCTTTGTACTTGAGATGTTGTTGTATGTTGTCAGTAAAGTGAGACACACAGATTTCTCTGGTCGGTGATCATAAGGGACTTGAGCACTAAAACTTAAAACTGCCTTTTTGAAAAACCGGTCATGTTGCAACGTGTACTCACTCATCTCCTCAACGACTTCTGGGTCACATTCCCTGTATTTCTCCAATTCAGCCTGGAGCCGAGTTCGTTCCTCTCTCAGAGCATTCAACTCCTTCAGCAAAGAGCTTCTCTCCTTCTGCACACACAGAGATCATTTTGTGATGTTTATTTTACTATAAATATTAATTAACTTGGATTATTCATTCAATTGTGATAGATATAACTTCCAATACAAGATGGAAAAGCATATAAAAATATTCTTACTGTATCTTGACGTCCCACTTTAGCTTTTTCAACCGCTTTCTGTACAGATATTTTCCGCTGCTTTGCTTGAGAACTCTTGAAAGTAAAAGAGTGTTACGTCAGGCATATTTGACACCAAACTGCTACCAAGGAAAAATAGAGATTTTCCGGTAGTCTGCCATAAAGTCAATTATACTGTTCAAAACAAAGTTGTTTGAACTTAAAATTGGTGAAACAGTTACTAAGACCAAACCATTAATCTCCTGAAACAAATCAACACTGGCTACCAGAGAGCAGAAACTAAGCTGACCTTTGTAGCTTTTAACTGTTATGTTTACACCCTTAAAATCTTAACTGAACATGACATTAGAGGGTAATGGTTTATTGGCATTATTGATAATTACAATGCTGTAAATTGTACTGTTACAGCATATTCTATAATTAAGTAAGGAAACATTTTCTTCATACATACTTTATATAGCCAACAGACCCTTATTTACCTTTTTTTAGCCATAACAAGTATTAACCTCCCTGTATATGATAATCACATGTATAGATTATTAGATAAACAGATTAATCGGTCGGCCGATTATCTGACATTCTGAGATAATCGACATTGGCCAATACTTGTTCTCACAAAGCCCATTTCATTCATTATCAAAAATACCACGTTACTGGCTAAGATAACCATGTTTATCAGACTGTAACGTGCATAATATAATGGAATTAAAGACTTTTCTTTGTTTTAATATCTGCATTTATCTGTGCGCTCTAAATATATGCATCGACCATTGAAAAACCCATAATGGTAGAACGCTAATCACGCGTCATTATTTTGTGACAGATTGCTGCTCCACAGCATTTAACTTCTGTCCCTGAAATCTGGTGGCCAACATTCTCTGAGGAGTCACCTCCCTCACACCATCTGTCTGCCGCGCAACAGGAGAGGGAAGTGGGACGCAACAGACAACAAGAAATTCAAAGACAAGCAGCAGTGTTGCTTTCTGTGCCAATAAATCTCTATAAAAAAAAAAAGAAGGTGTAACAAGAGAGCTTCTAAATAGTTCTAAATAGGGTTCATTATTTAACTTTTTTTGGGGGGGCGGGAAAAAATAATTAGATTTAATCACTAATAACTAAGAAATAAATACTAAGAACTTGTCCACACTCAGACGCTCATTTGCGTTTTCTTCCCATTTTTTTCTCCACTATTACCAGAAGTGTTTTCTGGGCCGGGCTCGTCATAGGTTGACCTCATTTACTGTAAACTAGAGTCTTCTAACAGATAAAACAACAACCTCTCTTTGTGTTTTGTTCAGTAACATCTGAAGCTTTTGAGATATGAGGTCAGACTACATCTGAGTCCCCTTCACCTGTGTTTGCAGCTCCTCCAGTTTGTGCTTGCGAGCGTGCAGGGCCTTGCTGGGAAAGGCCCAGTAGTAGTTTGATGTACCCACTCTCTCACAGTCCACCATGTTGTCATCCACCAAACTCTGCAGCACATCCTTCACAGTCATGGGAGCTTAAAGCAGCAGAGGGAGAAAAGCACACCTTCCACATTAAAGATTCACAATCCTCTATTTTCTATAATTGCACTAACATCCTAGCAGTCGATCCTATTTGTGTACAGTTGATTTGATTTGTGGACGACTGATTTATGGTGGAGGTATGACTGTTTACAAGCTCAGAAGACTTTAGGCAATATAAGATGTATCCGAGGTTAGGTATAATATTGCATTCTACTGAGGATTTGAAAAAAAAAAAAATACAAGCCAGCATGAGCTCTCATTTTTATTACTGGCAAGGCTTTACCACTCAAATGTTCACAAAACTAAACCCACACATCTGCAGCCTATCTGGCCGTTTCATACTTATCAGAGAGAACACTGCATGAGAGGATGCAATAGAGCAGGAGTTTCATCTTGAAGAGTGTCAGCGGTGAAATGTGATACTCCCACACATTTGCTCAGCTGGTCCACTGTGAAACTGTAAGAGCTTATCCGCTGTGTTTAGGGGCTGAGGGATGTCGAACGGCAGCAAAAATAAAAAACGAGGATTCAAAAATGAAAAACACTCTGGATGGATTAACCAAACTCTGTATGTGCATGACTTCAGAACACTCTTTTCCAGGCCTATTCAAATAGCTTTTTGCCCCTTTTTCGACTTCAAACCATTCTGCCTTTTAATGGTTACCAGGATGTTATTAGCACTCTGAGATCACCCTCTTGGCCTCTTTTTCTCATACTTTTTCCCCCCTTCTACAGGAACATGTGCCCATAATGCAGATCTCTTGTTGCCCCCTTCCCCCACCACTCAGTAACTACATCATGCCCAAGTAAGGGGGTCAAAAACATGTGCTTTTAATCACAGCAACACGATCCAGTTTCTCCAGATTAATGTGATGTCCACTTTAAAAATCCCTCCTCAGTTCACCCAAACATACACAACATAGTAGTTTGTGGGATCTAGCACTTAAAATTCCAAGTTTGTATTTTTATAAATTAAATAAATGTAAAGTCAGACTCCATGTTGACGTTGAGGGAATATGTTTTATTTAACAAGTAAAAGCTTTCAACACTTCTCTGCACTATAAGATTACTGCCAGGGATAGGTCTGGTTCTGCTTATACAGACTGAATACAGTTAAAATGGTGAACAGCGAGTCCTGGTTACCATGGTGATTTTGCAAGCATGTCGCCATACGTGTTCAGGAATGCGTGCAGGTGACTGTTTTATCCCATTTATTACTCTTTAAAACACACTACAGTTCTAGTAATTATTTTCTAAAACAAACTATACTTTTATATCTTTGAATATAGAAGTTCATTTTCTTTTCTACTTGTTTTACTAGAGTCGAAACAAGCGGAGATGTTTGGTGCTCAGACTAAACCAACTTGGCTAAAGTGTTCACTGTCTATTACAACTGAAATATCTATAAAAAAGGATTTTAGTTTTCCCTTAGAAATCACCCGAGTGTCTCCTGTTCAGACTCAGCTCCCACGTTCGTGTTTGACTTTTCTAAAAATAGTCAATAGTGACGTCTCTACTAACCTTCACATTTGTTTAATTTATTTTGTTAGAAACCAGCAAGGGAACACACACGACAAAGACTTTTCATATTATGTTAAACAATCTGAAACACTTTGACCAGTTGGACAGATGTGGACATACTATTTAAATAATGAAGTGTTAACAACGTTTTCCCCTCTAAAACTGTTGATAATTGCTCACCTATGCCCTTCGTCTTAGGGGCGATCTTCTCTATGTCTTTCAGCTGAAACACATCTTTCTAAAAAGAGGAAGAGAGAACACATTCAAAGAAGAACAATTTTATTTATCATGATATCATAGAAAAGGGAACATCTATGTAACATTTTTTTAACATCTATCTAAGTCTGTAGCAGTATCTCAGTGTTTGGCTGCTCTTTAGTTTGGCTTTCTGGAAATTTATATTCATCAGTGTTGAAAATATAAAGTAACATGACTCTACCTTTCCGGTTACGTAGGTGTTATTCATGGTTCATCTATTGTAGGCAGCCTCATTGTGTCTAATCTGACTTTGCTAGGCTAGTTTAGTTATGAAAAGTATTTGTGTGTTTCTGTGTGCAGATGTTGTGTATCTGTATCAAAGGGACAGAAAACCCACAAACAACAGGTTTTTAAAATTAGAACAGTAAAAACCTTCTCTGTGTTACTTTGGTGTGGTCCATTTATGTGTTGGTGGTAGTTTGTATGTTAGCTTTTGTCTCCTTCGCAAAAAGTGGGCAGCAATATTAGCGACATTAAATCAAAACACCTACTTTTCAGATAATAAATAAAGATAAATAATAAAGATAATAGAATCCATAAAACAATACTGACTATGAAGTATAGTGATCAGCTTATAAATCCATGCAGTTGTATTCAAGGCGGCATAAAGGGGATGTTATATTGTTCCTACTTTAAACGGTTATGTGGTCAACCTGCAGTGGCAAAACTCACCGTTTCGAAGAAAATCTCCATCATGCGAGTTCTCTTCTCCTCCAGACTTAGTCCTTTCTTCTTTGACTGTAACAGATTCAGACTTAAGACAGTTAACATCTGTTTTTGTTTGTAAAAATCAAAGTAATGGGAATATTTCCAGCTGCTGAATCTAAGACTCTTCCAAGTATTATAGGATTTCAAATCAGTAGGGGAGTGACAAGAAAAGTAAGGTTATAACTACTTATTTCTAGTGAAATGTGTTAGTATTAGTTACTGGAGAAGGTAATATTATCACTAGTAATGAGTTACTGCCCAACACTGATCATTATAGACTATCACTGTTGCCGATATTCTTTATACTTAAAACTGTGATCTTTTGCACATTCCTGCACAAACTGTCCAGCTTTTCATTTAATATAACGTTAAATAATCATATTGTGCATAATATCTATTACTATCTAACCTTATATCTTTTTTTTTTCATACATTCTTGGCAATTTTCTACCTTTCTACTCATGCTTCTTCTTGCCTTGCAGTAATTGTTTTCATCTCATATTGTTTTTGTTATGCACCAAACCTGATCCCTATGTTTCCATATAAGTTACATTATATATTATTATATATATATATAGACTGTAAATGGTTTCTACATTAGCTAGTGTTGTTGTAATATGGCTTCCGGCCACCGCAGGCAGCACCGGACAGGTCTCCATTAGTCCAGGATCAATGTTTAGATTTCACCTGGCTAATGGAAGTACACAAACTCTTGTTTTTATTTTATTTATTATTTTACACCTGCCTGTCAAGATCTGTTCCTCTCCTGAAGTTCACCTTTCCTTCAACATGCTCCTGCATTTATCTGCCCTCCATTAAGATACGTTACATGGGGGGATGCTTAACGTTGACGGGCGGTTGTGTTAATAAGCCAATATCGATCCGGTTCAGGTAACGTATTGATGACAATGTAACGTTTTAAACTCTGTGTCGTTAGCTAAAGCTGCTGTTACCGTTAGCCTATCACGTTACATGAGCTCCTCTGACGCGTTGTCACATGAACTGCAGGTAAAGGTGAACATCTGCTTACCATTTTGTTACGTCGGCTGTATCAGGAGCGTCCACTAACATTAAGGTTTCAGGCGTTAGATGTTGTTCTGTTGATGTTTATAATCCAAATAAGAAAACGCTCGTTCGCGCGGTACTGAATTTCCCGCGGTACAGTGTCACGGGGGTCCTGCTGCCTTCGCTGCTCCTCGTAAAACTCCAACTCCCCTTTTTTTGTTGCAACGCAGATTGAGCTTTCATTCTAAAACAGTCTATCCTTTTAGCATAAAACAACTAATGTTTTTAATGCGGCTTCCATAGTTTTCCACGTCAAGTATCTGGGAAACTCATGTTTGCTACAGTTTTGGACCGTTAGTGTCTTGTTAGCTGCAGTCATGATTATTTCCGACTGCAAGTGAAGGCAGCATCGCTGTTGTTATTGTTCAGCTCATAGTTGTCTGACGCCCCCTGCTGTCTTATTACATACATTGTTCAAATGGGGCTGCAGGTATTAATTTCCTGTTACATTTGGGGGAGACATTAAAATAAATAGGACATCAGTTAAAGTTTGCTGTGCAGACTGACAGATTTTTAGTAATAGAATAACGTGCAAGTGGCAGTAAACACTGTATGAGGGATTTATTGCATTTCTGTGTAAAGATTTCCTAATATATACAAAATATGAGCATGTAACAAAACATATCTACCATTTGTAGCGCTTTGAAATATGCATGTTTATTATCTTTCAGGTTTTTTGATCTCCAATTATATTGAAAAACCTGATTAATCATCACTGCAGGGAGAAATGCTATATGTGTGATCCTAAACATGTTTTTAGAATTATTAACGCAAAGTTCAAAGTGCTAACATGCTTTGTGTCAGTCTGCAAACTAATAGATGCTATGCTAATCTAATAAAACAACTTAATATCATCATACCACAGTGTTTTCAGCAGCTATGGAGTTAATAAGATACAGTACAGCAACACAACATCAAACAATATTCTTTACTATGGGCACTTTAATTCCATTTGGCATTACAAATATAAACAAGACAATGGAAAACAAATAATTTAACAGGATTGTGTAGAAAATGGATGACCAAATTCAGGACAAGTTAATGAAAACTGTGCTTGAAGACAAACAGATTTCGACTAAGGCTTTCTAATAGGAGCACAGTGCATTTTTACAACATACCCCTCAACTGTTGAACTACATTTTTCATCTTTTTCAGAGGATAGGCAAATTGTTTTTACTAAATAAAATACAACTTGTTAGTAGCTCTACCAGTTCTATTTTTTGAAAGACATAAGAGCACATGGAAAGGAGTGAAGGTGATCACAGTTCTGCAGGTGTGTCTGATGCTGTCGTTGATGAACGAACCCCTTCAGCGAGGGCTGATGCACCCTACCGAGTTTATTTTCGGCATTTTCATATTTACTCCAATTCTGCAACAAAGAGGTTTGCACGTAATCACAGCAGATTGTAAGTCAGAATGTCAAGAGGCTTCAGACACAACACACATGCGTGCACGAACACACGGCAGATTGTAAGTCGACATATCAAGTGGCTTTTGTTTGGTACCTTAATTGATCACAACACACTCACGTAATCACACTCACCTTGCACACACAAACACTCTGTTTTCTGTAAAACCAATTAAATGAAGTTATCAGCATACTTCAATAACCACGTGTGTGTGTGTTGACATATAACATTAACTAGTCATTTTCACATACAGGTAGAAGTATTAGTGAAATAGTGCTTCAGTTTAAAGTTCTGTTGATGTAGTTAAGTATCAGCCTGAAATAGATTTCTATATAGTGCACAGTAGCTTTTCTGGTGGTTCTCAGTAAAAACAGCATGCACAGAGATGCTTAATCATGCTCTAAAATACCCTGCTACCTACAGTAGGTGGAAGATTTTTCTTTTATAGTGAACAGGCAAAATGTGAAGACTCCTAAGAGCATTTAACAGGAAGTTGCAGTGACTGGAACTATAAATAGAATACCCATTATGTTTCAGGTGACTAAGGTACAGCTTCACTTAACACAGTGTCCAACCAGTATTTTTAAGAACAAGTGCAATGGCATTATTTTCCAGTTTTCCTGCCATATCACAACCAATCAAAAGGTCTAACATATATACAATACTAAAGTTTTATTTTTGAAATCAGCATAGTTAAGATGGAACGTTAACAAGGTTATGTGTGACTCCTCAAAGAACCAATCAGCAGCAGCCGTCTGTGAATATCATATATCCTCACACTTCATTCAAACCACAAATATTCACGTCTGTTGTTTCTTCAATGTCAGAAGTGATGCCACAGACACACGGGTGGAGAACAGTCAAACAGATGGCACGACGATAGCACGAAGGATGAATAGGTGAGCGGATGAAGTGCAGTCACTCCATACTAATGAGTGCATGTGAGTATATATATATATATACACTGTACAGTTTGTGCGCTGAGAGAGAAGAGCTGCTACTACTGCAGGTAGCGGTAGATTTTGAAGCAGTGGTTGCCGGAATCTGCAACCACAACATGTCCGTCAGAGGTGAGAGCCAGTCCCTGTGGGCCATACAGCGGGTCTGCAGATGTGTTGATGTAGGACAGGAACGAACCGCTGCCATCAAACACCTGAGAGAGAGAGAGAGAGAGAGAGAGAGAGAGAGAGAGAGAGAGAGAGAGAGAGAGAGAGAGAGTAAAGTATTGGGGTGGTATTGGCAAAACCAAGTCAATTAGAAATACTGAAACACGAAACAACACTACACACTTATTGTAAAATTGAATATAATAATTACTAAAAGTTGCATTAGTTTATTTGGCATTATCTGTTGAAAAATGTATTTTTGGGATCAGTTTGGAGTTGGTATTTTTGACACTTCAAATTGAAACAAGTACACAGATTTGGAAGAAGAAAAAATTTAATATTTCCATTATGTAATATAGGTTAAAATAAAAAAAAAAGTCAGAATGATTTTATAAATAAAAGATGATTCACAATGACTTAAGTGGTAGTTTAAAAATGGGACCTTTTTTTTAATTTTCTTATTATTTAGAAGTATGTGAACTGAAGAAGAGAGAGAAATCTTTCTTTTTATATGAAGAAGCTGTAAATATGACTGATGTAACATGATATTTACATTTATATATTCTTCAGATTCTTTGGTCCAAAGCGATGTACAAATGTCATTTTTAAACGTGTTAGATGATGGCATAGTATTAAAATTCCAATTAAAAGACATTTGGTCTGCAAGGTGTAGAAATTAGCCATAAAAGACATAAACAGAAACTGTGAATGCAGCAGGAGATAAAACTTGTACTGACCTGTATCCTACTGTTGCCCCAGTCTGCCACTATGATGTTTCCATTGACATCCACTGCCACTCCTGTGGGGGCGTTGAACTGGCCGTTGCCTTCGCCGTTAGAGCCAAACTTCAGCAAGAATTCTCCCTCTGTGTTGAACACCTATATTTTGGTTTCCAAGAGGATAATAGCATGGAGATAATAATATAAAATGAATAAAAGCAAACAGTGAGCAATGTATGCCAACACAGTAAAAAAGTCTATCATGCAAGCTACCATTTTTAGTACCAACATCTGGACTGATCATTATCTATTTTAGCTCTAGACTTTGTATACCTACAATACGCTTCCATTACTGCCGATACTGCACTTACCTTGACTGAGTGGTTGTGGAAATCTGTCACTATGATTTCATTGTTGTTGTTGACAGCAGCAAAGTGAGGGCCTAAATACATAAACAAAAAAAGCAACAACAAGGTTTCAGATATGAGTTGTTTGTCATAATCAGACAGAAGTAGTTCAGTTTAAAAAAAACAACTTCATGGCAGGTGTTTTTAGAGGACATGCAAGTTAATAAGTAGACAAATGTATTTAATGACAAAAAACAAAACAAAGATTGTAATAAAATATTCATACCAGAACAAAAGCATGCTGTTTTAGGACGTTAATAATGCACATAAAAGAAAATATATATTTTGTCATATCATATGTTTTAAACTGATATGATAAAATATTATTATTTTGAAAAAACCCTTTTAGAAGTCAAAGGATAATGGGATCTTTATGGTTCCTGGTTTGGCATACGTCTTCATTCCACATGCAGGTGTGAGCCGGTGGGAGAGAGACTGTAGGGGGGCAGTGCACATATTACCATTGAGTGTACCTGCAAACTGCCTGTCACCGTTGCCACGGTTACCGAACTTGGTGACCAGCTTGCCATTGAGCTGAAAGATGAAGACGCAGCAGGACTTATTGTCGACCACGATGATGTGGCCGTTTCTGTCCACGGACACGCCTTTAGGGCCCATCAGCTTCCCGGAGCCGATCTTGTTCTGGAGAAGTCAACGGTTGTAAATCTGTTGTTCATCATATACTACAGTACATGTGTACAAACTTGGACAAACAGTAGCATTAGCAGAGTAAATTATATTTTGTGTATTGTGTAATATTCCATGTATGTGTTAAATGACATTTATACAATCCCCAAAGGACAACTTCCCTTTAAAATGTTCTGTCTTGTCTTATATGTGACTCACAGTTAAAGAGTGCAAATTGAAACATCCCATGAATACGCACACTCACACTACAGACATAAATAGTTTGGTGAATAGCTTTTCAACAGTGTTTGAGAGAAGGCCTGTATTCAGTGAATGAGCTGCAGGCTGCTCTAAATGAACATGAGTGTATCTTAAATTTTGTCATTGCAATTCTACTGCAACTGCGTGTAAGGAATCAGGACAACTTCTATCCAACTGTCTAACTAACTAAAGCACAAGGCTAAAGCAATTTATTTCCACTTTAAACTGTGCACTGAGTCGGCATCAGTACTTTAACACTGAAACAGATGTTGAAAAGGGAAGTGGAAAACCTACATGTGTGAATCTCTTAACACATCAGAAATGTGCAAATGAGGTGTTAAAAGTGTAAACGGCCAAGGGAAGGGCAAACAGTGCACCTGTTTCGCTGTTTGAATCGCTAAAATAGTCACACTTAAGAGTCCATAATTACATGGGTCATTTTAAAAATACAGCGGTGGTACTGAGGACCATATACCATTTAATGCCAGTGTTTATGGTTAGTACATGGTAATATATCTGCTATTATTGTTATCAGTGGAAATTACATCATGGTTTTATTATTACTTTATGACAGACAGTCCAAGTATAGAATAAAGATAAGTAAAGATTAAGCTTGACTTACCTTAAACTTGCCTTCACTTGAAAAGATGCTGACCCATTTGTTGTCATAGTCGGCAATGATGATGTCACCGTTCGGGTGGACGGCCACACCCGTTGGCCGCTGCAGCTGACCCGGAGTCCTGCCCCGGACACCGAAACGGCTTTTGAACTGACCATCATTTGAGAATATCTGCAGCACAAAACACATAAAAAAAAATTTAAAATACATACTGCAGAGTTCAGAGGAGATGGCAAAGTGCAGAGGCAGCATTGTTCAAGGTAACTGAACAGTGATAAGTTACAGTGCTCCACTCATGACCTCTTAATACACCCCTTAACATCGGCTATTTCTGTGGGTTGACAACACTGGAAGTTATTTTTACCTGGACACACTGGTTGTTGCTGTCTGCTATCAGCACCTTTCCCAAAGAGGAGGCAGCCACTCCCTGCAGATTGGTGAACTCCCCTTTGTTTCTTCCTTTTGTGCCTGGAAAACATTAAAGTATAGCCAGATACATATTAGCAGACTGATGATGTGACTAGTTGGTTTAGAACTCGTCATCAAATATGATATTACATATCTATCACCAAAAGGTATTAAAAATAATTATTTAATAATATAAATAGTTTTGCAAAACATGTTGGAGGTCATGAAAAAAAAGATTTAAACATAGAAGTAGATGTTTTGAGCACACTGGACATTAACTACGTCTAATAAATTAACAAGATGCTGGTATACACGCTGAGGGTGTGAATTGTTTAAATGCATCTATACTAGTACCAGTACAACACCTGGTATTGACACCAGAATTAGACCTTTTTCAGAACCTCATTTTAAGAAAAGGTTTTTTTACAAACCTCTTTTAATTTGAATAAAGAGGCTACATTGTTAAAGGCCATCTAAACATAAGCAGCTGCACATGAACTTTGGTTTAAAAAAAAAAAAAAAAAAAAAACTTGTAGTTGGCAACATTTAGTTTTTAATCAGAGAATAGATTATATTTATCTGACCTAACATTGCACTTACCGATTCTGAAGATGAGGTCGTCCTCGATGGGGTTCTCTTTCCTCCTCCCTGTGCTGTACATGCTGGCCGGCCTCTTGATGGCCTTCTGCTTGATGTGACCGCTGCCTGGAGACTTCAGCCTCTTCTTCATGCCGTCTGAAGTTGGCGACACATCTATAGACTTGGTGGCCTTTATCTTAAAGGGGCTTCCTTTGATGTGTTGGTCATATAAACGCAACGATAAATTAAAAGTCCCCTCTTTAGGAGCTGTGAACAGGTACTCATAGGTGCCATTCTTGTTGTCCAGTATCTCTCCTACACCTTTGCTGCCATCAGGTGAGGAGAGTTCAGCCTTGATGACTGCGTTACCCATTTTGCACAGCTCTCTGTCTTTGTCCTTAGTGGTTATGGTGATAGAAGTGGGCACACCCACCACACAATGCCGTAGCCCCTCACCTGTAGCCACAGTCTCAGAGGCCACCGCGTTAGTAGTCACAATAGTGCCCAGGTTGTGGATGGACTTCTTTAGTCCGTCTGTCTCCACGAGGAAGTCCAGCTGGTCGTTCTCTCCGGGCTGCAGAGGAAGCTCCTGGCTGGCGAGCTCAATGAGACGCTCGCTCATCTGTTTCTTTACCAGCAGCACCTCGGCCTCGGTGCCGTGGCTCAGGGCCTGCTCTGTGAAGTTACAGCTGCTGTTGATGCCCTCCTGGCCCTGTAGCAGGGTGTCCAGCTGGGCTTGGAGCACCTACACATAGAGACACCAGGGGGCAGCAGGGTTACTTTGAGGTTCTAAGATTGGGACCCCCTATAAAAAGTGTCTTCTAGCATAACCCATCACAGTTGGCACATATCTACAAGCTAGGAGCAGGTGAATCTTAGAATTACTTTCTTTCTTATAGTTATGCATTTGAATAGATTTATAGAGGCTATAGAAGTCAAATTATGCAGCATTTTACAAGAAAAACACTATTGTGAGTAGCAAATATTTTTTCTTTCTTTTTCCTTCCAGCTGTTGTGTAGCAGAGCAAGTGAAAGATCTACATTGGTGGAAAAATACAGCATCAACCATGACTTCCCACCATTAGGGAAATGGGATCTTAGCTCATTGCATTTGCATGTTGCCAAATATTGTTGTGATTCCTAATATGTAAAGCGGTGAAAGGTTTATTTCAACCAAACCAGCAGTGTTGATTGTTGGAACAGTGGAAAAACTAACAAAGAAGGTTTTGGTGAGTTTTATTTTGTTTCTGTCCAGTTTAAAGTTTTAAGATTACAAAGTGTTAGCTAATAATAAGTTAACTCAAGTCACATTTAGATCATGATATCTCTCAGCATGCTTTACTTCAAGTGTAGCCAGTGTACTTTTACGATTACTGGGACATCACTGAACCCTGATGAAAGAACCAAGACAGACTCACCCCCATCTGATCATCACACTCCTCCTCTTCTCCAACAAGAGAGGCCATTAAGCCATTTATCTCAGGCTGAAGTCAAATGTTTCCTCCAAACACCTTCTACTATCTCACATTCTGAAGCTCTGAAAACTAAGATACTGTCCGTACATACTGGAAGAACGGAGATCAAACTGCGGAGTAAGCGGCTGCGGTGTTTGCAGCATGACGAGCAAAGCTGCACTGTGTTCCCTCACCGCACATGACACACCCAGATTTACCCAAGTGTGCATACTGGCTCCATCTAGCTTCAAGCAACAACACAGCTCAAAGTATCTGACGTTCCCCTTGGCTCCCAGTGTTTTTACTGCACACCAGCCAGTGAATTGTAAATCATTAACAACCCATGTGATGGAGCTCCCTGAGGGGGAGGCAGCAGGCTCTTAACCAGGTTGGGTGATTGGTTGTCTGGATTGGGGTGGTGCACCAGCTCCCTGGCCCCCCCTCTTTCTGCCTGTTAATCACCTATCAGACCAGCTGAGCCCCTGACACATAGATCAGCAAAAACAGCCTGATGAGTAGCCTGTGATACGTTAAATGCCTTCCAAAAATAGATTGTAATTAGGTCAATGTTGTGTTCATTTTAATTGTTCTTTCTGTCCTTTTACTATATACTCCTAAAGCTCTTTATCAGAACAAATCAGAGCTTCAGTTAATATAACCCCTTGAAGAGGTAGATAAAGACTGCAAAGCGCTTTATGCAGATTAAAAAACTCAAACTCTTATGGCTGGCATGTTAGACATTGGTCCTACCTGGTTGAGGTCACAATAATAACACTGAAACTACTACTTTGTTTCAGACCATGTTACTTCACCTTCTGCTTGAGGCCGTAGTTGACCTCCAGCTCCATGAGTAAAACGCTCTTGCGGACATTCAGAGTCTTCTGCAACTCGTCAAAGGTAGTATGGATGTCATCCTCAATGGAGCTCTTTTGATTGGTCAGCTGCTGCAGGATCTCCGACAGCGTCTGCAGGGCTGAGTCGATCTCTGGCAACCTGGGAGCAACAGAAGGAGCAACGAGGATAAATATTTCATATAGTGAGTCAACGGTCATATGACAGGGAGAGCACATAGAGGAGGATTGTGTTTGTTTTATTCGTGCTATCATGGCTAATACTTGGGAGTGATATGCGTGAAGCCTGTAGTGCGGTATAATGAAGTCTACATAATGCTGCTGTTGTACCTCTTCTTGACAGCATCTAACTGGTCCTGCAATGAGGCCTTGTGTTGTTCCACTACGTCTTTAAGAGGCACAGTCGGGTGTTCTCCGTGTTCTCCACTTGTGCACTCCTGACACATGGCTGTCTCACAAGGCGGACAGTAAAACTCCATGACCTAAGCAACGGGGGAAAAAATTTTAGATTAGGCATAAATATAGGGTTGAGGTTTAAAATGCTTTAGCCACATTGCAGCGTGGCTAATGACAATGTTGGTCAATCCACCACTTTGGTCCAGACTAAAATATCTTAAAAAGTATTGGATGGATCCGTTTTGTGCAGACTTTGATGTTCCCCATGAGGATGAAGCCTACTGACTTTTCCTGTAGCGCCACCAGCAGGTTGAGTAACTCAGTGGATAGAGTGGGATGGATTGCCATGAAGTTTGGTACACACATTCATGTCCCCCGCAAGATGAATTCTAACTACTTTAATTTAGAATCTAGCGCCATCTTCAGGTCAGTTATTATTATTTTTATTTATTGGTACTTTACGTAATGGCATTCCCATCAGCCTCAGGTGCACTTTGTCTTTAGTGCTGATTAGCATTTATTAGCATGCTAACACAAAGATGATGAACATGGTTAACTTCTTACATGCTGAAAATCTGCATGTTAGCATTGACATTGATTGTGAGCATGTTAGCATGCTGTTAGAAAGTACAGCCTCACAGAGTGTGACTGTAGACTGTTTGCTGACAGTGAACCTTTAGAAAAATAAGCAAAACCTGAACCAGTGACCAATGACCTTAACATCTAATCTGTTTATGATCGAGTCATTATCAGATTTATTTGTTAGAAGCCTATAAACCTATATATTAGACAAACAGCTGGATGGTCAGATGTGGTGGCTTATAGGTCTAAAGTTCATGTTGAAACCAACAGACACACTGTCAGTTTGACAGTGTGTATGACTCTTACGTTGCCTCCATGGTTGGGGCAGGAGAGGAGTTGGCCTGTAGCCACGGTGGTGATGTTGTTGAGAGCGGCGGCCTCCTGGCTGCAGCTGTCCGGTGCCCGCTGCAGCACGTCCATCAGGTTGGTGATGAAGAAGTTATTCTGCAATGCCGCCACACCCTTCTCCGGCAGGATCGAGGTCTGGCGGCACACGGGGCACGACAGTGTGAGGCTGTGGGCAGGGATGTAATTCTGCAGGCACCTGGAGGAGGAGAGCAGGGGGAATATTGATTCTGAGTGGGAGGATCCTGCAAAAGACTTGTATCAAAGAGAGTCTGGAGAAAGGCGTAGGTGGTGTGTATGTGTGTGTGTGTGTGTGTGTGTGTTGCACTGAGAAAGCATGGGAAAGATGAAGGATTCAGCTATACTGTAGCGACTGATGAGAGATGTGCAGTTAATAATGTGAGAGCCAGTCTTTATTTTATTATGTTTACACAGCGGCCTATAAATGAGAAATAATTTAACAAAAACATTCAAAACTATAATCTACCAGCCCATAATCAGGTATTTGACCTTTCAGTTGAATGAACCCAGGTGAAAATTTAGCCTTTGATGCCATCTAGTGGTTCAAAGATTTATAGCCCAAAGGTAATTTACAGTAGCAGTATAAACTTCGTTCCCAGTTCATTATCTACACCTGTAAAGTCTTGTGCAATGAAATACAACAGCTCTGCCATAATCCCATAAATCTGATCACTGTGATGATACAATCTTCCGTGCTGTTGACACTATATGTCAGAGAAGGAGTTGATTTAACTCTGGTAACCTATGAGCAGTTGGGGGAAAAAAAAGACTTAAAAGTTACAATACTGCAGTGTGAATATACTCTATTACAAGTAGAAGTATTAGGCTACCAGCAAAATGTACTTAAAGAATACAAAGTAAAAGTACTCATTATGTAAAATGGCTCCTTTCCTAAATTATGGGGCCTTCAATGTCACAAAAGATGGTATATTATTTTAATATTATGCACACAAGATAATCATTTGTATACATGATTACGTTTTGAGAAGGTCTAATGAGCAGCATAACTGTGTATATCACATGTTTTGTATATAAAAGTAAGTAAGAAAGTACAACATTTGTGTAAATGTAGTGGAGTAAATACATAAAGTAGCATATTGGACATACTTAAGTAAAGTACAAGTAAGTAAATATACTTAGTTTCTTTTCTCCACTGCTTTTGAGGTCATAGTTTATTATGTATGTAAAAAGAGCTGGAAAAAATATTAGAAACACACAATATAAATGCAACACCACCACGAAACTGATTATTAACATCTTAAATAAAGATTTTTGTTAAATTATTAAATGTTATTATGTAACGTCTTGGTCACAAGCAGCATCTAAAACATTTAAGCCTCTTATGTACAGTTAAAGTTTTGGACAGGAAGCTGTTAGACCTCACCATTATCATGTTCTTAATACATTAAATATGTTAAGTTTTGATAATTTCATTAAATTTGCTAATTTTAAACCCCTCCTAAACGCCTAAATGACTAGTAACCTGGTGGTTCCTCTCAGGGTTTCTGACTAGCACACTGTGTGTCTATGGGGCACTGTAAGGTTATTCATGATACTGGTTATATTTTTATTCGATAAAAAGGCAACACGATGACAACATTACATTACTGATGAGATTACATCCGCATCAGGTTGAATTTGATCACCAGTAGAGAGTAAAGGAGTCGGTGCAACAATGCCTTTCTACCATTGAGGATTTAGTGTTATATTACACTTTAAACAATAATTTAGGTGCTCTAGGATCTCCTTTACGGTCATAAATTATGGTTTAACATAATTGTAAGGCAGTTGCTAGCTGGGCGATAAATTAAAAGGCACAAAAAAGATGCAAATTTCTTTAAAATGTAACAAACCGTAACAAATGTGATCTGTTTAAATCCAAAGAATAAAAAACGCATGTAGTAAGGGAGAAATAAATATACTAAAACAGAAAACAACTACATTGTCTTAATGACTGCTAGAAGCAACCAGAGCAAAGGAACAGACAGGCACAGTCTCTCTTTTGTGTCAGAAACAAAGGCTAGTTGTAGAGAGGACCAACACACCAAAGTCAACAGCAGAGATGCAGCACCATGCAGGATTGATTACAATATCTGGAAAGTAGTATTTTTCCATCTCCCACTTACTGCCATGCAGCATCCCTTTCTCGCATAAAACATACAAATCATGCATTTGAATTTGCTTTTTCCACTCTCCATTTGCACATTTAGACACACAATTTTTGGGATTATAACACATTAGAGCAACATGGTAACTCCACTCACCTCTCACAGAAGGTGTGTAGGCAGGGCAGTACTTTGGGGTTTTCGTAGCGGTCCAGACATATGCTGCAGATCAAGAACTGCTTGTCAATCTGGCGGACCACAGGGCTGGGAATAGTGGAGCCTTCACTGGCCATCCTAAAACTCTGACATACGAGTCCCTCTTCCTCTTACCCTGCACCCTGTGGAGTCAAACAGAGGGAGGACGAGACAAGTGAGGACGTAGCGAAAAGACGTCACATATGATCAAACACGAAGGGATAACCCGCGGAGGCGAGTGGAAATCTGTGGGTTGTAAAGATCAAAGTTTAAAGTAAAATGCCTTCTTCCTTCCATCCCCTCACTGAGAGAGGAAATGTCAAATGCACAAACAGACACACCAGTCACCGCCTGTGGCTTTGGGCTTTAACTCAAACCCATGAACATAGAAGTATTAAGATAAGAAAAAGTGACATTAAACATCCTCACAATCGGCAGGTCAAAAACCATCTGCTCAATGTCTTTCCTTTTCATCAGTAAAATACACTTATTTACATGTAATTACTTTTGCTTTTGTGGAATCAATTGACCTAACAGCCTGGGAACAGATACAACCTCTGAGAGCATGAGAAGTCAAACTGAGGTCACAGCTTCAACATCAAATGTTTGCTAAAGTGCCAACTAACAGCCGCAGTATTGTGGATGCCAGTTATAAACCTTTAGCTCTAATTACTGATTGATATACTGAGATTGAAAGTCCATTCTTGACCTTCGGAGATAGCAGTTGACAAAGTAATCTCACCACAAGGTATTTTTAGTAGCCGGAACTTTTAAATCAAATCACACACAGCAGATGGACTTCGCGTGATTGTCATTGAAATGTAGAAATGTTAAAATTTTCATTCCTTTAAAAAGGACTTTCCCCAATAGACCACAATTATGAAAAAGACACTGTAAAGAAGGGCAATTATTACTCCATTGTGAATTTTTAAACCATGGAGGTTTAATATTTGTAAAACTTTCCCAATATATAATATTTCCCAAACTTTCCATGTGGAGTGGGTCTTTCAACACAGAAGCTAGAAAACTGTTTTGGTCTATGCAGGTGAACACTTTTATTTTCGGGACTGAGCACCATTTTTGAGTCCGGTATCCCGTCCCTATAAAACATCCATGCTTTCCACAGGTTGCCTATGTCTTGGAGTTGCAAGCAATTCAACCAAACCCAAGGCTGGATCACCAAGCAGGCAACTGCCCCAGAGAGGCAGACTCCCAGGGCAACCAAATGTCTGTGTCAGTTCGTTTCTGGTAACTCATTTAATTGCCCATCTTGAATTTTGAAGACTCCTAACAGGTTGATCCTTGAACAAAGATGGATTTTTCTCAGATTGTTTGATTTCAATAGTTTTTATTGGGATTTCCTGATATAAGTCACCCAGTCGGTATTTTACTGGCCTTATTTTGTGGATTGGGTATCTACCAGATGTGATCCATATTAAAAACAGTTTTGTTTCCCATTTTGGGAACCAGCGCAGTAGCAGACAGTCAGACTGGAGCTTGAATATGAGCTGCCGCCTGCGCATTTGTCATAAAAAAGGCACTATGAGTGATAAATATTTTATTATAAAGTGAAAGGAAGGTACTCTGTGTTCAGCACTTACCAGTGAGAAACAGAACACTGAACCGACAAAAATAAGACACTTTAATACCACCAATATTTACACTGATTATTCATAACTGGGAAGAAATCTAACTTGCTTTCCAGTTTTATTTGAAACATCCTTTTACTGCATCCTTTATTTGAGTGTCTGACTTTCTGTAACGTTATCCGGCAGCCAACTTAGACACAGAAAGTGTGTCAGTGCTTTTATTGTCTCTTCACATTCAAGACAGGCACAGAAACAGGCCACCTCTGCTGCTGAGAGGAAACCCTTGGGGACAGTACTTCTTTCTACAGTGCATGCTCTCTTTCTACTCTTTTCTATTTTTTCTCCTAATCTCTCTTATACACGTCTCCTCCTCCCTTTCCTTTCTCTGAGAGCAGATCCTGTAAGTACAATGTGGGGATTTGGTAAGCCTGAAAATTGAGAGCGGTGGATACAGTTACTGTAATAATGAAGCTGTCATGCCGTCAGAGGGTTATTACAACAATTTCCAACATGTTACATGACTGGTGTGTAATGTGTTTACTGTCAGGGGTTAGCTGAGCCACTCAGTTCAGCATCACGAAGCCGGTCGTGCAGTTGAAACAGAAACAGCAAGTTAACTGTAACAGCAGCATAACAACTTCAACAACTGCTCACAATTTAGTCTAGCTCTAGAGGCCATATTCTTAACTCATAAATGTGAATCCGTATATAAAAAGGAAAGATAATTGCATCTGTGAGGTTTGAATGATAATATAAACACTGTATGATGGCACAGACATGCTCAAACACAATGTATGTTAATAACCTACCAGCTCCACGGAGCAGATTAAGCAGATTAACAGAGCATCAAATATGGCACTGGTTATAAAACTAAAATTCCTAAATCCTGCAGACAGCCACAGCAGGACAACAGAAGCAGCCCCGTGCTGACAGTGCACAAGGTCGCAGCAGCAACTCTTACATAATCAGATCCGCACCAGCTAAGCGGAATAATTCCTGCTGGATTGAGCAGTCATCTAATACGCAGCGGAGGGTACACACGAAACAGGGAAATGTTAGTGACTCCACGAGAATATAGTTATAATCACACACAAATGTGAGCGGTAAACATCCCCAGCTATTCCCAAAAAAGGTTCAGTATTTGGCTCATAACATTATTAAACATTATAAGACAGGAAGACTTACAGTGCTGCATCTATGGGCCGATCAACAGGCGTCATCCACTCCAGCACACAGACCGAAACACTGGCTCCATGTGAGCGAAACAGGTAGAATGTTTGCACTAAAAATCCCTTTAAACCTGCCTTAAGGTCATGTCAGCTCTCACATGAAATGATGCTTCCCCTCCAGGTAGCAGCGACGAGCCAAACAGGAGACGACAGGATGCGTGTGTGTGTGTGTGAGCGAGCCAGCTCCTCTGTGTGTTTGTGGGTGTGCACACACACGTGAGTGAAGTTGAGGAGGGGCGATTTAGCCAGATTGTATTTCAGTTTTTACCTCATCTCTTCTCCTCCCTCCCTCACTCACTCACTCTCGCTCCCTCACCCCTTCCTCTCCTCCCATCACTTTCATTCTTGGCTCAGTCCATCTCATCCATTCATCTCCCTCCTACCTTCCTCCCTCTCTCTTTAAGTAAATGCTGGCTCACTGCAGTGCAGCGAGCATGTGCAGCATCAGGAGTATGTGAGCGACTACTGGCTGACGGCTTGTGAGCTAACAAATGGGGGAGAAAAAAAAAGCACTTATGGGTCCCCTCCACGGCCAATAGAGTTAAAGCCAAAGGGATCTTTCTGAGTGTGTGGGTGTGTGCCTGCTGCTGACTCACTGTACATGCAGAGACAAAGCAAAAAACGGGCAAGAGAGGGAAAGTCAGAGGCAACGAGAATCATGATTATTAGATATAAGGGAATGAAAGTATGACTCTGCCAAAATCAGAGAGACTCTTGTATGCGTATGTACACATTCCTCCACACACACACACATATTTCAAAATGTCACTGTGATGACAAAGCACAAGCGGGTCAGTTCTTAACAACATGGCATGTTGTTATTCCTTCATAATCTCTTGATATAAGCCCAAGGTGAAACTTCTTTTCCGGTCTTTTTGAGAAAAGGGAAGGTCACCGAGAGGACATGTGATTTTAGGGTCAGGGATCTCAATCACTGCACTGCTCTCTGAGTGATAAAGCTGAACTCTATAAAGCTGGCTGCATTTATAATAATAGGTATGTACTGTATGCACATACATTAACTATAGATTATGGGCACTGACTGGGGAAGTGACCAACACTGATTATCTCACTATCATGGCACCTGTCAGTGGGTGGGATATATAAACAGCAAGTAAACATTTTGTCCTCAAAGTTGATGTGTTAGAAGCAGGAAAAATGGGCAGCGTGAGGATTTGAACGACTCTGACAAGAGCCACATTGTGATGGCTAGACGACTGGGTCAGAGCATCTCCAAAACTGCAGCTCTTGTGGGGTGTTCCCGGTCTGCAGTGGTCAGTACCTATCAAAGGTGCTCCGAAGGGAGGAAAAGAGGTGAACTGGCGACAGGGTCACAGGCTCATTGATGCACGTGGGGAGTGAAGGCTGACCCGTGTGGTCCGATCCAACAGACGAGCTACTGTAGCTCAAACTGCTGAGAAAGTTAATCACAGTTTGTTGCCTATGCTGCATAACAGCTGTGTATGTATGTGTTGGGAGGTGCCACAGGTACAAAGAAAAGATATGTTTAGTCAAGAAAACAATTTGCTTTAAATGGGCTCCGTTTCCATAATTCAATGATAATCAGTCCTGTTTGTTAATTGTTAGTTTGTTCCAGACTTCTGAATTCCTGCCCACACCTTCAAATTGTTGAGAGCGAGAGAGTGAAACAAGTCTGGTATTGTGCTCATTCACAGCTGTTTCCATTGGTTGGAGACAGTCAGACAATCTTAGTAGATCTTAGACCATGGGTCAGCAAGCTTTATTAACCTGTCTGCAGCCACAAAACATATTTGAGCTTTGTAATGCTAATTTGTCACCACAGAGCCAGCAGCGTTGGTGGTGAAAGAAAACAAATCTGTCCATGCACTATTCAATTCTCAAATCTTCCTCTGAGACTTTTCCTTTAGCTCAGTTAGTTAGCACACTTAAGACTAGTAGTTACTGATATTGACGTTCAGCTAAATATAGAGGAAAAGGTCAGGATGTAACGTATGAAACACATTTTAATTGACGAAATGTGTGTATTGGCTGCACATTTTTTACAATTGGACAACGTAAGAATCAATTTAGGCCTACAACAATGTTAGAGGTAAATGTTAAAAAGAACCGTAATTCGTTTCCATTTAATGTTTTGTCAAAGCTGCCTGTGGCTCTAGAGAAAATGGCTGAAATTAACACAGCTTTACAAGTTGTTATTGCATACAGGCATACAGAAATGACAACTCTTAAAGTGACATGTTTTTTTATCAGTGGGAAAAATGTGTCAACTGAAAATAAGCAGGACAAATATGTAACTTGGCACTGATTGGTTAGAAAAAAAACATCCCTCCCTACAAGAAATCGGACATGAAAGAAGTGAAATTCAATAAGATTATCAGCCTAAATTGCCTTCATGCTTTGCATCAAGTATCTTGTTTGCATGATCAATAATATAAATACAATTTATCCTTTTATTTCTTGGAAATGAAAAATGAAATAATAACATAATTACTTTGTATTCAGATCAAGATCAATCTGCTCCAAATCAAAAGACAACAACAATGAAAACATTGTGAGGGGTATTTCCACTGTTAATCAGTAACAGCCAGGGTAACATGGTTGGTTTGACCTGAGTTTTAATCTTTACATTTTAATATAATGCCATTAAATGGGAATTTTGAACATATTTCCCCTGACTTATCGAGTTTCTGGGCCTGGGATTTGTTTTTATATGTCTTTTATATGCGTTATATGCTTTTATAACTGCAAAATAACATACAGGAGTTGTTAAATTCTTCTGTCTGGTTTCTACCTTTCCATTTAATACCATGACTGGATCTTGGCAGAGCTTTTTCACACATTTCGTTAGGCCTGGCAGCTCTGAGACTGTTCCAGTGATCTCATCTCAGTCTCTGCCAAAGTCAGTGAGCTCTGAGTCAGTTCAGAGGAGGGGGACACACAACCAGAGGAAGGAATTCAACGCTGGAGGAAAACTGAAAACATAATGGCTGAATAGTATGTTGTGTAGCATTAATGCCCAGATGCATTACATAATCAATCAGCTTCTAAAGCATCGACTTGATTCAATACTCTAGTCTAAAGGATAGGACAGATTCACATATTGTTGGTTTTGGTCTTATAGATAGAATAGAAAATATTACCAGCCTCATGCTTTGACGGCATCCTTATAAACAAAAACATTGCTCCATAGCCCTGCCAGAGGTCAAAAACCCAACCCAATACCTTTAATGAGCGGTTAGAGGCTGCCTACAATTTGGATAATGCAAACTTTCTACTCACTCTACTCACAGCCACCCGCTTCTGTGACAAACAACACACTTCTTCAGCGCTTTGTTTCTGATTTGTTAAAAAAGGCACAGTCATGTGTGCAACGCATGTAAAGTGAAGTCTCAACCCCACCACTAGAAATCAGAACACAGGACTGACTTCCAAATGGACTCACCGGCCTTTTAGTGCTAACATTAGTAACAACTAAGTGTTTTGTGTTTGATTTGATCTGTTAGAGGTTTTATGACATATTAGTAAAAACAGCGGGAAAATAGGTCTTTCAGTTAAAGGGTCAGTGTGTAGGATTTGGTGGCAGTTGCAGTTTACGACTAACTGAACACTGTTTGTGTCTCTATTTGACAACCTCGGAATGAGAACGGGCTGTGAAGTGTGTAGGAGAAACTACGGTGGCCACAAAATCTTTAAGCTAAATGCTAACATGCTAATAATTACAACATTTCAGTAATAACTAAAGTGGTGGACCAGACTGACATTGCCATTCCTAGAGTCACGCTGCGAGTATGGCTAAAAAAAAATGAAGGGTTGGGGCTTTAAGTCCCTTTCAAAGGAGCCAGCAGGACCTTTATTACATCTTTGGAAGACATGAAAGCAACATAAAGTAGAGACAGGCTCGGAGACTCACTGGAGGAGTAAACATGTCACTTAACCTGTTTTTGTTGCTTCGCCATTCACACCCACATCATCTCCCCTGATACATTAAGACACTTCAAAGACACCACAAAGCAAAAACAGTATTTCCGACTGACTTAGTAGCTCTAATGGAAAAACATCAGCTGGTCTCTCAACCCATCATCCATAAAAACAAAACTCAACCAACGTTAAACTTTAACTGCTGTGTGTAGAGAATCTAGGGCATGCTGTAATTTTAAACCTGTTCATTTCCACTCACCAGTATGAAGAGGGAAACTGTTTTCAAACAGTTTCTTTAGGTACATTTCAGGGTTTGGTTTACATCATGGCTGCAGTGGCTTGTATGTTACTCTGGGTCTCCCTCTGGTGTCCATCCCACAGCTCTTTCCAGAGCACTGACCTCAGCTGTTTTCACCATCTCTCTGTTTCCCAACACACTACACGCCATGTCACACTGCACAATAACGACACTGCTCAGTCAGAATGACCGCTTTCAAAATGTAAACAACCAGAGTGAAGACAAACAGGTGTAGGTGTTTCTGTTTGACAGCACCGATGGAGACCAGCTGGTTTTTTCCCTCACCTCACCTGCACGTTATTGAACGTTTTATAATGTTCGACGATGTGAGACCAGTTAGTCTGTCAGGTCAGAAGTCCAAGAGTCCAGTCACATGCAGGTTCACTGCTGAGAGTCACAGGACAGTTTGTTACCGGTCACGCACAGCCAATTTATTTTACATCAGCACTTTGAAGATTTTATTGATTATTGATATGATTTTAATTGGTTTGACTGTTTTAATAGCACATATAATATTGTACACCTTACCAGACATGGGTCATGAAAGTAGGGGGTTGCAGCACCCCCTAAAATCTGACATAATGAAAACCATTCGTTCATAAAAATGTTGGAACTTATGACTTTCTTCTATTTTTACTGGGATTTACACGTCTACACTGGTATTTATGGCAGGAAAGAGGTTTTGTTTTAGTTTTATCTGCTAAAAAGTATATTTAAAAAATGTGTATGATGTTTTTAGTAACTATTAAATAGATTATAAAATATCTTGGCCATTCAAAAGAATACAAAAACCATGAATGTCATGCATTTAGCATTGAGAATGACATCATTATACAGACTGAGTTTCTGTCAGCACCCCAAACTCTGACTGACTTCCAGTGTCCCTGTTACCAGAGTAAATAATATTTTCTCTTCTGTGAGACTATTTAATGAAGGTAAACCATCTTAAAACTCTTTAAGAGAAGAGCGTATGTGGATTCAAACTAGACTAATGTCATGTTATCGGCAATCTAAGTAACTACAAAATACTAAGATTAAGTTTTCAGTCAGTCAGCAGCTCTCGCATGTTCATAACACATA